CCTGAACACCAGTCCAGCCCAGCTGACCCTACACACACACACACACACACACACACACACACACACACACACACACACACACACACACACTCCTCTCTTTTCCAGCAGCAGCTTTGCTTTCTGTCACTCCCTGACAGATTCCTCCCCAAAATGCTGAGCCTCCTCCCTCCTCCTGCTCTCCATAATTTCCACTCTGGAGGCACGCGAGGCTTTTTGATCGCCTGCCTTTGAAAACAGTCTGGTCCCACCGTCTTTGCAAACACTCGGCCCTGCGGTCTGGTTCCCCACAAACAGATCCACTCACTATTGTTTTTAGCTCTTGTGAAAAACTTTTTAAAAAGGGGGAAACAATAATATTTTTACTGACTTTCAAAGACTAAGTGCTTCAGTGACAAATGGTTTTTTGAAGCTGAATTTAAAGGCAGAATGTTTTTTTCTTTAATATATTTTACAAGCTGGTAGAAGACAGGTGGTCTAAACCGGAGGTCCCCTCTGATGTTTAATTCAATCAAAGTCCACAAATTGAATGAAAACATGAAGGACCTGCACTTGTTTTACACAACATCTGCAGAAGTCCTCAGAGAGAGGCTTCGGCTCATTCCCATGACAACATTCAGCTCACATCTGCTGCTTATTTATAGATCACTGTTTGAAAGAGGAGACTTTAAAGGAATGCACGTCCCCCACTGGAGTCTTACTACCCAAACATCTTATATGATGTGTTGGAGCTCAGAGGATGTGATGGAGAGGAGTCTCAGCTACTACCACACAAAACTTCAGCTCATTATCTGTACAACTGATGGATACACACTGCAGCACTGTTCAGGCCTCTTTGTCTTGTTTTATGTTTGTTTTTATTGATGTTTGTCCACATAAAGAACACAAGTTACAGTTTTATAAACTGAATTTATCCTTTTTAAACTGACCTGGTGAAATCCCAGATAATCCACGATGGTAGAGGAAGCGTAGAAAACCATCCCGTCACAGCTCACCACCAGGGCAAAGCCTGTCAGAGACTACACACACACACACACACACACACA